GGTGTAGATCAGTACAAAGGCCCTGGGTTCAGTTCCTAGTGCTCCCCTATGTCTGTCTGTCTGTCTGTCTTCAGTATTCCTGTCCAGTTGTCTTTATTTTCAGAGGGAGCAAGATGGTGATTTGGGGTTTCTCATTCCTTTGTAAATGCATGCTTTATCTGTTACCTACGCCTCTAGGTGACTTTACTCACTCTCGTGACCAAACTGACTACTAATGAACACTGAGGGCTCCCAAATCTGTCACCTCAAGTCCCACTACTTCTTGAGGGCTCAGGCCCTTATATCCGGTCGTCAGGATCTCATAGTCATTTCACAGCCACTGTGCTACAAACTAAGTATTCAGAGCTGTTTGAATTGTTTCTTCTTTGTATTATCCATAGCTTAGTAAAAATCAGAACTCTAACCAGGAGTCATGTTTGACTTTTTTCTTACTCTATTATAGTGTAGTTTTCAAGATATCAACTGTGAAATCATGCCTTCTGCTCAGAACTATATAGCTTCTTACCTGACTCAGATTAAAAGCTAAAGTGCTTTGAATGACCAGGATGTGTTATCAATACTTTATTGTTTCCTTGGCCCAAAAGCAGGATCTTTCCCCATTCTGTGTTGCAAAACCAAAAGTGAATGCCAAGAGCACAAGTTTATTCAAGATCAAGAGTGCAGAAGTGGGGGCCTCACCCATAAATCAGCTTCTCAGCTCACCTAGGGAAGAGGTCACAGGATGGCGAAATGTGGACAGCGCCTAGGCAAATAAGAAGAGGGTGGTATTCACAACCTTTCCTGGAAGAGGCAGAGGGTTCTCAGTGTGTTTCCAAACCTTCTGTAGTCTATCGCATAGTCATAGTGGCTGGTGGGCCTTTCACTTAACTTGGAAATTAGATTATAATGAAGTGAGAGGTAATCTGGAAGGGACCCTGGCAATCATCAGCTCCAACTGATTTTGGCTAGCCAACTTGAAGAGGAACTTTTGGCCTTTAGAGAGATCTTGTCCTCAAAGATAAAATTAGAAAGGGGTAGAAATCCAGCTAGTTCAAGTATCCAGTACCCTGGGTAACAAAATAACACTCTATTGCAGGGCATGGTGGCTCATACCTATAATCCCAGCACTTGGGAGGCTGAGGTGGGAGGATCGGGTGAGAGGATCGACACAAGTTTGAGGCCAGCCTGGGCTACAGAGTGAGTTCAAGGCAGTCTGTACTACATAGCAAGACCCTGTCTCAAACAAAACAAAACAAAAACCACAAAATAACATTGTATTTTAAGTCAGGTTGATGGTACCTAATTTTGGAATGGCCTTCTAGAAACAGTGTAATTTCATGAAAGCATCAGTAACCAAATGTTTTCTGAGACAAGGACAGATTCACGGGAGAAAATGTTATTTCTTGCTGGATTATGCCCTAAAACTGTTATTTCTTGCTGGATTATGCCCTAAAAATTTTGCTTATTTTGTTTGGCAAAATGGCATCACGTGTGTCAAAAGGCAAAATTACAATGCACTTAAATATTTTCAAGCCAAGTATGGTGGCACACACCTGTAATACCAATACTTGAGAGGCTGAGGCAGGAGGACACTGTGAGTTCAAGATCAGCCTGGGCTACATAGTGAGTTCAAGGCCATCCTGGACTGCATAGCAAGACCCTGTCTCAAAGAAACAAAACAAAAAAAAGATTTTCCTTGGCTTTTTGTATATGTGCTTGTAGGCGAGAGCAATACTTCAGTCCATAAAACAAAATGAGCACCTGACAATTGAGCCGATACCCAAAGGAGTAGCAAGGTCAAAGATGCGCTGGATGTGAAAGTGTGCTGCACAGGGCGAACGGGCTGGTGAGGGGCGCTCAAGGCAGGTTAGGTGTGGACGGTTGTAAGCGTTAGGGTTTGAGGCAGGGCTGAGAGGTTGATCTAAGGTTTTACTCTTGCCAGTGAGAGGCTCAACGTGACCTTTCCGCTGGAGAGTGGGAGTCTTTAACCTTACATGGCCGTTGGAGGAACTGTCATGGTGCCCAAAGGCCACAGAGGAACGAACTCAAAACTGCACAGCTAAGCACATGGTAATTAGGGCTGGGCCAGCCACGGCTGGCTGAGGACCACAGCATCCACGCCCAGAAACTTACTGTGTATGAACTGGGTTACCTGGTACTGTTTCTTTAACTCAGAAGGTGGATCTACAGGAAAGGGCTCCCAGGTGGCTCCCCCTTTCTTTCTCCAGCCAGCTTTTTGCTACCTCCTGTGTCAGTTTTATAGACAAAAAAGTGCTGAAGACAGTTACTTTCTTTATAAGGCAGACAGGAAGACGACAGTAGAAAAACAACCGATTGGCTAACACCAGCTTATTGAGGTTAGTGTGTAAAGTGTGATGGTTAAAGCAGAAGAACATCTGTGATGCCGACGGAAACTGTCCTGTTTGGGAGCTGTCCTTATTTTTCTCTCAATTTCTCAGAAGGTTGAAAACCGCCTATTTGGTGACATGGAACTTTAGTATGGGTGACCCCATTTTGATTTTTAGTCTGGTCAGCTGGGGCCTAGCGCAGCTTTGCCCTAGTGCGGATGGATGTTTCACATCTGCAGTCACTAACAGATCATGCCCACAGTCATTGTTCTGGAGTCTGACTCAACAGCCCCGGTGCAGGGCGATGTGCTGACAACTCCAACGTGGCAGCAACACGAGTGTGCTTTCCTCTGTTGACGGAAATCTACAAAGGAAAATCTGTATGACACTAATTGATTTAGTCTTGGGAAACAGAGTTTTGTAAACTACTTTTTCCTAATATCGAATAGCCCACAGGGAAAGATTTGGCCCATGGATTCTCCATTCACCCCTGACACATCTTCTCCAAGGACTCTCTTTCCCCTGCTCCTTCCATCTCAGTTTTAGGCCAAAACAAAATGTATGAGGAGAAAAAAGAAGCCCACAGACAAGGGCAAGAGGAGAGACAAGGAGACAAGAAAACGTGCACATTAAGAGGTTGACAAAATTGGAGAAAGAATCATAAACATACCAAGATTAATAGTCATTTTGGGGCCAGGGATATAGTTCAGTGGCATAAGCGCCTGCCTGGCAAGGGCAAGGTCCCGAGCTCCATTCCTGGTACCAAAAAAAAAAAAAATCTAAGGGCCCAGTGTGGTGGCACACGCCAGTAATCCCAGCACTCGGGAGGCTGAGGCAGGAGGATCGTTGTGAGTTCAAGGCCAGCCTGGGCTACAGAGTGAGCTCGAAGCCAGCCTGAACTGCATAGTGAGACCCTGTCTCAAAAAAGACCAAAAAAAAAAAAAAAAAGTCATTTTGGTACTGAGGTGGCCAACATTTTAACTGAATTATAGGTAAAGATGGTAACTTGACAAGTTACCTCCAAGAACACAAATATATCCCCAAATCCCAGGCCACAGCACAGCTCTCCAAGGGCCTACATTCCGAATATGTACTCTCACTCTGCATAATAAAGTCTATGCCTCTCACTGAGGTGTCCTGAAACTCTCTTCCTGTGATGAGAGCCAAGAAGCGACCAGGGGGAGCCAGGAGCGGTGGCACATGCCTGTAATCCCTGCACTCTAGGAAGCCGAAGCAGGAGGATTTCAAGTTTGAGCCCAGTTTGGGCAGTTCAGCAAGGTTCTGTCTTAACGCATTTACAAAGGGCTGGAGATACAGCTAAGTGTGTTCAACCCCACGTACTGTATCACCAAAGACAAAACAACACACACACACATACACACAAAACATCACCTACTACTAGTAGGTGGGCCGAGCTGAGATTTCTGTCTCTGTGGGAACTCCCATCTGGTGAGTTTCTTCCCGCCCTGACTCTGGGTGTTGTCCACCACCTTTTGATCTCTTCTACTCCCACCCAGCTCACTGCTGGAACCACACAGGTTGGAAGTGACTTCACTTCTGGCTCCTTGTGCCGAGAACTCCAATGGACAGCAGCAAACCTGGCTCCTTCATCCTCTATTCGCGTAACCTCAGTGAAGCCGTTCCTGTCTCCTCTAAAACCTCAAACTCCTTGGTTGGACTGGCCCCCTTCATAGCAATGGTCATCGTCTGAAGTAGTAATGTAGATGTATCGACGGGCTCTTCCATCTGTCCCCTGGCATGTAAACTCCGCAGTGCCCGTAGTTCTGTTTTACAGTGCTGCAGCCTCAGTCTAACACACAGGTGCTTAAGAATAACCTACGCAATAAATCAATCCTGATTAGTAAATAACTAAGAAAGACTGAGAAATCAGGCAGCCTGCCTAAGGTCACAGAGTCTACAGTTAGCAAAACTGGATTCCACTATAAGTCTGCCTCCCACACGCATCATAGCATTTGTTTCTCTTCTTTTTCTTCTCTCCTACTGTGCCTGCACCTTATGCCACGGATGGCAACCAGGAGAGAGGCAGTAGTTAGGGCTGCTTCCAGCATTCTTCCAATGGGATCAGCACGGGATTCCATTTGTGACTCGATCTTTAGCGCTGTGTGACACTGGCTGGTTTATTTCACTTTGGACTCTCAGTTATGCTCACTTGTACAAACGGATCTGCACCAAGCAATCACTTTCAGGTCCCTTAACTTCAACACCTGTCAGACTCTAAGATCCACGACGGGACGAGAGTCACTGTTTTGCCTCATCCGCTAGGGGCTGGAAGCCCCTCCTGGACCAGCGGCTCCTCTCTCCCGCAGGTGTTCCGTCTCTGCCCCCTACTGCGCGCCCCTACAGTGGCTGGAAACCCGGAGGCAGCGCCGCCTCAGCCTATAGCAAGTCGGATCTCGAAAGCAGGAGCGAGGAAAACGCCGCCGAACGCCGTCCTCTGCGTGGCTCCCAAACGCGCCAGCTGAGAGCCCCAACGTTCATCTCGAGGTCACCTTCGTTCCCTCGCTTCACTTGGCTCGGTGCAGCCCTCCAAGCCAGCATTGGTCCTAGTCTCACTCTGGCCTTCACTCCACCGTGGCTTCCGCATCCTTCCGCCCGCGCCCCGGAAGTGACGCCAGCACGCGTCACGTGCGCGCCCTCGCGGCGCGGGGGGCGGGGCTTGAGAGGGAGGCGGGGGCGAGAGCGGGGAGGGGACGCGCCGAGCCCGGGACCCACTGGAGCGGCGCTGGGAGAGCGGCTGTCCGGACGCC